AGCCTCCTGGATTCTGCGTGTGGCCTGGCTGGAAGCTTCCAGTAGCTTCCGGTTGGGCCTCAGACCCTGCGCCCAGGCCCAAGACTACAGTTGAGGGCCTGTGCCCTTTTCAGTTGGGCACGGCCTGAGTCTCTGGACTTGGGCTGTTTGCTGCATCTGTGCAGGGCTCCCAGGCAGGTGCGTCGGCGGTACTGCTTTTGCAAAGGCCGACAGCCTGCTTCCCAATGTATCAGCCCTGCTTTGTGTGTATGTGCCCAGGCGCAACTGTCAAGGCCTGGGCCAACTGTATGACGCAGCTTTGTGAGGCTCACGCGCCTACCCAACCAACTGGCGTGCTGCGAGAGCCCGAATATCCACATATGGAAATGCCGAATTTTGCCTCTGACGAATATTCAGGCCCGCCTTCACTTAGGGCGGGCACTCGGCTTGCTGGGGGCCTTAGCACATATCATGTGATGTCTGATAGGGCCCCTTGAGGGCTTGTTCCTCGCATTGGCAACTCGTTTGATGAAAAATGCTATGAAGTTCAAAAACTTTTGATCTTGATTTCTTGATAACAGGGCGCAGCTTATTCACTGAGCTTCGCCCTTCACTAACCATTTTGTGTTTACCCAGTTTGTACTTCCTGCAATGCTTTATGAGGCCCAGTAAAAGAGGGCAATTCATAGATAGCATCCACAATCATTTCAATGACTTGGCTAATGATGTATCTTTCTTCCCTTTTCGAGAAGGATAATCAACTCGAATAATATCGACAAAAAATGGAAATGTTATGTTCGTATGATATATATTTTTTTAAAGAACATTCGGAAAAGATTGTCTGGGTTGGTATATATACAAATTTCCGTTTTTGATATTTTATATTTGTTAATCCATTTGGGTAAAGTAGCTATCAAAGATTTTGAAAAACAATTGATAGTGCAGAAGCTGCGCTTCTTTTTTCAACGCTTAATAGACTGTTAAAGGAACAGGCTATTCGCTATTTTGGGACAATTACTGCACTTCCTTATTCAAGAAGTTGGAGAAGGCGGTGATTGATTAGTCAGTCTTGAAGATTGCAGATGCGTCCTTGCCATTTCTGGTGATAAGGAAACTAGCCAAGGTACTACCATCAGAAAGAAGTTGCGAACTCTACCTACGAGCGGGAGCTATGTCTGCACTCTCTCTCTTCTTGAGCATTGCTGAAAGTAGTGCCTCTGTAGTCTCACCAAACAGCGAAAATATGATTAATGAATTCTGAATGAGGATTTTGTGCCAACTCGTCACTTTCGAGGAGCAGCTACTTGGCAAGGCCTATAGCGTCCGCCTACCAAAAGAGAAGCCTAAAACTACCAGCCGAAAAGAGCCTACCACTATGGTAGGCAATTAGGGACTGTACACAGGCCCCGGGCTCAGAACTCGTTTGCTTCAGAACTGTAGAAAAAAAACAAAACAACTTTTCATACTTCAGTTGGTCCCTGGTTTAAATCCAGGCAAGAACAAAAATAACAGAACCTTGTGTAATGAACCCAGTCAGATGGAAAGTTCGTCAATGTCAGAACACATGATGTCTTAGTGCAGTTTCAATGTCTCTGAAATTGTACATGTAATCAAGTAGCCCAGTGTCTCGTGACCAAAGAAGAGGCAGATGGGAGGGAGAATAGACTTAAGGGGTGAAAGAAAAAGTACCCATCAGCTCAGCGGATAGATCTCCCTGATTAGCCCAGTCCTTTGGGCATCTCCTGCTCGTCACATCAGTAGACAGTCTCCTCTGACACGCTCAGACAATGAACAGATCTCATCATGGCGCACACGATGCAGACTCCTCTGAAGACGAACAACAATGGGCAATGTTGACACGAACTCAGACAGGTAAGCTTTCTTTATGATCAACCAATCTCACAGCCCTGATCCTCCTCATTGCCAACATTCCATTAATGTCGTAGGGAGTGTGGTGAGAGCCACATGAGCATAATCAAGTGGTGCCGCAGATAGGGAAGGCGCCAACACCCAAGCAATAGCAGTCTTGCGTCGTCGCATCAGCGTAGTGCCAGCGTTAAGCCAACGTCAAGCTAGCGTCCAGCCAGCGTCAAGAAACAAGTCCAAGACTGAATGTCGGTCAGCAGGGGCGGGGTCGACATATAGTGTTGACTCTGGTTGACCAGCCTCTGGTCTCTCAGATACGATGGCCCAGATTGACTCGCAGCCAATGGCTTGGATCCCATACAGTTGTAGATTCCCACTTGGACTCCATTCTGGACAGATACCTGCAAACAGCCAAGTGTGTGTATTTGATCGGTGGCCTGGATTGAGTCCATGTTGGCTTTGACTCGTGAGCCTGAATTTTCGAGCTGCTGTTGACGTTTGACTTTCCACGGTAACCTGTCACACGTTGGGCTTCTGAAGGCCAGTTTTAGGCCTTGCTTTGAGTACCCCACAGTAGCAGGTCTTCGTTTAGGCAATTTCAAGACTTGGGCGTGGCCGTTGACCCCAATTCCAACCCTTAGACCAAAATGAGGACCCATAGCCATGATTTGAGTTGAGTTATTGCATTCCATCGGGCCCAATTTCAATTTCCATCGCAGAAACTACTTCTTTAGGCTTGGTCCTCTTTAAACCCATGCTCATAGGCAGCGAGAATATCGAGTGTTGTAGGGAGAAGGTATTTCTTAGTGAACCATCTTGATTTTGATATAGGTTGTTTTGAACTTCACCTTGTAGTGCTTCTACAATCTTCCATCTTGATTCTGATATAGGTTGTTTTGAACTTTACCTTGTACTGCTTTTGCGGTCTTCCCTTGCCATCTGTGGAAAAGTATCCATGTTCCAATATGCGTTAACTTTGTAACCTCCATTTATAGAGGGAGGAAGCATGGATGGCTGGTTAGGAAACTCATGGCCGTTGACGCATGGGAGGAGTTCGGAAGTATGAAAGACAAGATATGTCGTGATGTGAGGGGGTACGTCAATGTGATAGGACGGGTCATCGGTGTCCCCTATCACCTTGAGAACTTCCCAGGGTCTATAGTAGATACTAGACAGGTAGCAATTTTTTAGACACTTATTCTCTTCAAGGGAGAATTTTTTAGACTTCACCCAAACTAAGTCCCCGTCTTTGAATTGAGATGGTCAACGATGTTTTTTTGCTTGTTCGATGATTTGAAGTTGGGCTTTTTAGATATTCTCCTTTACTCTAGCTATGTCCTGTTCGTACAAAATTGCAAATTCCCTTATTCCTGGGAGTAGGACATGTTCCCTAGTCAATGCATTAATGAGACGTATTGACTTCCAACCTTCGTGAAGTGCGTTAGGTGTTTTGTCGGTAACAATATGAACATGTATGCTCTTGCTATTTTGGGTAAGTTCTCATTCCAATCAATTTGATCTGACCTAACATACATTCGCGAAAGTTGTTGGCTCAATCTGTTTGTTTGCTAAGTTTGTCCATTCGTTTCAGGCTATCCACCTGACGACATGGTCAATCATGTGCCATAGGCTTCCATTAGCTTTTGCCATTGTAGGCCTATGAATCGTACATCCCTGTCAGAGACGATGGTTTTCGGAAATCCATACTCGGAAACCCATCGCATTTAAAACTTCTTGATGACGAGCGTCGTTCTAGCTTCTTATGGTAAAGGAATGAACATTGCATACTCAAAGAATCTGTCAACAATGACCATTACCTGGCTATTCCCATTTCGACTCTTGGTGAGACTCGTGAAGTCAATCGAGATGGACTCACCTGGTTCACTTAGAATAGGTAGTGGTAGTAGTTCCAAGGGATTTTTATTAGAGGGGATGTTCCTTTGGCAAATAAGACAGTTTTACACATAGGTTAGCACGTCCTCTTTCATTCCTTTCCATTCAAAAGACTTTCTCACATTAGCATACGTCTTCTTAAACCCGAAGTGACCCTCAGTATCATGACATTCCCCAATAATTGTACTTCGAAAAGCAGGTAGACTCATACAAAAGAAATACAGTGATGAATTGGAACCAGACTTGTGAAACAATTTAATCGATTCAATTTCGGATTTGTCATCCTTTAATTTAACACTCTTATCTTTGAACTTGACTTTCGGGTCCTCATGCCAATCCATGCCCAAAATCAAGTGAAAGGGTCGATTCTTCTCTACAAGGAATGTGACTTCATGCAATATTTTTTTTCCTTCCTTAGTGCGAAAATAACATTTCACGCGATCCACAAATTGAGAGACAATTATCGTGCAATTGTTGGCAAGTATAGATGTGATAGGTCTCGAAAGGTCCTAAACTCTCATTCCCAGATGCAACTTGCGAATTGCCTTTTTGGAGACATAGGACCTTGTAAACCCAAGATCTAACAAACCAGCTACTTGTGTTCGCGCAATCTCTATGCCAACAATCATTAACTCACCCGTAGACTTCACTTTCTTAGCCCATGAACTTCGTAATGCAACGAGTTCACAACCAATTTCAGCACGGGAATCACCCAATGAGACAACACAAAACCTTTTCAGGGTGGTCTGGGTGATGGGCCGAAAAATAGTCATCCTCTGCCTTGTGAGTTGGGAGGTTGAAACTTGAAAGGGGTTGTCGATGCCTTACCTTTGTCTTACCCTCCAACTCAGTAGGAAAAGATGCTGCTCCTACAGGCTGCTCCCTTTTGGGTTATGGATGAGGGGACACCATGCAATGATATGTCCTACAGTTCCACATTTCAGAGACTGCCTATTATCAGTTCGTTCCTGCTATTCCGTCTGGGTAAGGCTCGTCTTCTCCGAGGGCCGGTTACAAGGAATGCCATGATGCTCCGGGAATGAGCGTGGCCTCCTCTTCTTAAATCCACCATTTCGGTTGGTGCCACCCTTGATGGCCACCAGGGCATTGGCGTCACCCTTTCCAGACTCAATCGCCGCCATTTGCTTCGCCCCCTGCCTCTTCCAAAGGCCATCTCTCGATAGTCTCGTCGTCGAAGACGACGAGAGTGTGGTCGTGTCGCTTCCGCCTCCACAGGACTCGTTTCCCGTTCCCGTACCCACTTGTCTGCCCACCCTTCACAACGGCCGCGTAGGTTCCCTTCACCCGAGTTGTCATTTGTTCTCTTTGGAGAGCGAGATCGCGGAATTGCCGGTAATTGTACTTACCGGACTTTGCCTTTGCCACAAGCTGTCCTCGTATAAGCTCAGGCAATGCGCGCGAGTTAATATACAAAACCTGGTTATCCTGTAGGTTTAACGCAGGTACCTGCAACAGACGATCCACTTCACGTGACAAAGCATCGACAGTGGACCAACGCTTCTGGTTGATAGTGGTGAGTTCGTCAAAAACCTTATTGGTTGTCGTTTTGTCGAGGAACTGCTCCATGATTTTCTGGAGAAATTCCCACAAAGTCATTGTCTCTGCCCACTCACGTATATCTTCGAAGCCAGCGGCATTGGCCTTGGACATTACCCACTCCTTTGGAACTTCCCCCAGACAAGAGGTGGAGAACGCGACTTGACTGTCCTCCGCCACTGGAGTGGTCCCACAATACATCTGGATCTCGGTAATCCATAACAGCAAGTGTTCCCCTCTTTTACCGTTGTAGATAAATGGCAAGTTCATTTTAAACTTTTCTTTCCTCTTCTGCTTCTCCCCTTCTTCCTTTTTCTGAGCTTCTTTCTTAACGGGCTTGGGTTCTTTAAGTTCTTGGGGTTTCATGACGTCTTTCATCAGCTTCTCGTGTGGCTCTTTCTTTTCTTCCCTTTCCTCGGCTACCTCTTGATGCACAACTTGTTCTTTCCTTTTACTAATCTAGTCACCATCTGCAATTGTGCACTGATGTGATCAGTCTTGATGTCTAAGTTTGCTAGGTTAGCCATCATATTTTGCAGGACAGACGCCACGTCAGTTTCTGAATCCACAATATCATTTTTTTGTTTTATTTCTTCTACTTTCCTTTCCTGTTATTCTTGCTCTCTTCGCTGCCTCTCACATTCTTCCTTTTTCTTCAATTCTGCTTCTAATGCAGCTTGCAACTGCTTAATTGTGTCGTCCATTATCTCTTCCGTCAGTTCAGGTTCTTCTTTCCTCTCGCTTGCTTCTCCTTTCCCTTCTTCTTTGGCCTCACCACCAGCTATCTTCGCAAACTGCTCAGCGACAAAGTGATCGAGGACCATTCATCCTCGATTAATTATCTGTTGCACTCCTACCGCTGGTCTCCAGCATCTGCACAACAGTTCCAATCCTTGAAAGTTAGGCTTCTGCAGCACGCAGATCGAAATGGCTGTGAACATGCTGCTCAGCGTCTGGCCCAGCATCGTGCAGCTCAGTGAGCAGTTGGTGAAGACGGCCCAGCATCTGCTGCCATTTTTCTTCCACTTGGCCACGGGTTCCCATTACTCCACCTTCATCAGCGAAGAAGGTGATTGAGAAGAGGAAAAGGAATCAATCAAGTGAGGATAGACACAGGCAAGCAGTTCCAGAGGTTAGTATTTTTCTCCAGTGTGTCTGCCGCACAATAAATTTCAAACGACAATTATAAATTCCACGACCACACTTCAATCAAATTTCAATCTCCACGGCACGAAATACGAAATAAAAGTAAATTTCAACAGGAAACAGAATCTAAGTTTTTCTGTATCTACTTCTGCTGATTATTCTTCTGATGATGTTTCCTATAGTCTGTGCACAGATTCGGCAGCCATGGCCAGTGTGATCGAGACAATAACACAGTGGTGAGTTTGCAGACATCCACAAGACAGCCCACGACAGGCGAGTGTCACAATCAATCAGCAACACAACAATCAATAATGTGTTAGCTGATATTCTTCTCACTGTCCTTGAACAGATGGCTGTCTGTTCAGGCACAAGTTGTGACGCGTGGCACTACAGCATAGTCTTGTGCTGTACCGTCCGTCAGACCACACAAGTGCAAGTCGCTGTTCCCACCAATCTTCAGCGGATGGCAGTGTAAGTAAAAGGGCCTTTACGAATTAGACCCCAGATGAGTACCCCAACAGCGAGGGGCCCTGTCGGCCAGAACTTAAATTCACGAGCAGCAACCCAAAAGACAAAGTTCCTGAGACAAATGTCACATCCATANAGTACCCCAACAGCGAGGGGCCCTGTCGGCCAGAACTTAAATTCACGAGCAGCAACCCAAAAGACAAAGTTCCTGAGACAAATGTCACATCCATAATGAAATGAAAGGTCATTTTGAACAGTCACAAACAGGTAATGAAAGAACAGGTATTGGACACAGTTTTTAAGACTGAGAAAGGGTCATGTCTCCTCGATGGAAAGTCACGTCTGTTCGGCAATGAGTCAAAGGCCACAGTCCCAGTCTAGTCATAATCCCACGAGTCAGTCCTGATTCAGACCAGGAGTSCAAAAGACAGGCCCGATGGCCCAAAGCAGCAGCAGACCATGGGAAAAGATACTGGGACACACACTTKGCAACAACRGGTACYGGGYAGGAGTYCCAGACACTTGAGGCTGAATGCAGGGCACGCCAGACCAGTCCAGCACTATAAAGGACTGGCCAGCCTCCCATTTGACAGATGCTCACTTCGCATGAGAGTGTGGAAGTGCCGTGGCACTTGTGCACCAGATGTGTGTGGGCTGTGCTAGGCTGAAGAGCAGCGCTATGTGAGAGTGAAGAGAGTGCTGGCTAGAGGGAAGGCAGCCATAGCTGCGCCAGCGCTAGTTAGAACATTAGTAGGGATAGTTAGTAGGAGAGTTCAGTGAGTAGTATTCAAAGTAGATCCTCGTGTGATAGGGAGTGAGCATGCATGATGAGTGGGAGTAGACCAGGGCAATAGACATAGAGGGAGAGAGAGAAGAAGACAGACAAGAGAGGGGGAGGTGTGAGCTATGGTGACACTTACCTGTTGAGCGCTGTTGTTGACGTTTGGCGGCTGACGCTGATGAGCGCCAGGCTTGGAACTCATGTTGATCGAAGAAGATTTGTAACTCTGTTCAGCGCTATACATTTTTGGACTCATGAAATTCCTCTCTTAAATCTGGTTATGATAATTGAGTTGAGCTTCCTGGTNAGAAGATTTGTAACTCTGTTCAGCGCTATACATTTTTGGACTCATGAAATTCCTCTCTTAAATCTGGTTATGATAATTGAGTTGAGCTTCCTGGTTCTCATTTCATCTTCTATTGGGTTTTGTGTGAGACTCCGCAATCTGTGAAATCTGTGTGTATGCATGTGATCTGATGCACTCCAGCAAGTGATGAACAGTCGGGTTCCTTGCAAATTTGGTATTGGAGCAGAACTTGTTACTCTCACTGGAAGCGTTGGCGTGATCAAGCCCCGCGAGAAGGATAAGCTGGCTTGAGTATAGCTGGCGAGAGTTGAGGTGAAGAGGAGTTAGATTGGGATAGAGGGGGAAGTTGGCCGACGAAGAAGGGGCTAAGGAGGAGAAGACTTACCTGCGATTGGAGCGACTGGAGCGAACGTGGAGTCTTCATCAACGGCTACAAAGAAGAGAAGAACCTCCTGCCCCACTTACCTCGATTGATTGCAAACCTGTGTGTTGTGTATCTCTTCCCCCTCCTTTCTGGTGGTCGCTGCTGCTGTCTGGACGAAACCTGTGGCCTGGTCTGATCTGACAGATAGGACTTGAGAGTTAACATCTGGTCTTCGTGTTATCCATCTGGTCTATCGATAGGTAATGTAGGAAGGTTGAGTCAGGGAACTGTGTATTGCCACGTCAAAGTGTTAGAAGCCGAGAGCTGAGATAATCGTGGTAAACTGGATTTGTTTTCGAAGTAAGTGACCACCCGGCTAACCTTCTCTAACGAAAGTGACCAGACATGACCATTGAAGGCATAGACCAGGTAAGTAACTAAACAGGCAGCAAACAAAGGAAGAGGGAAGAAAAAAAGAGTTCCTACTTTGCATATTGATTAGGAAATATTATTTATCTTTTGCATTGTTAAATTTCGTTATTCTGAAGCAGCGACATCCAGACTTCAAAGAAGAAAAGTTACAGATCCCAACTACTCAGGTAAACTAGGTTCTCGGATAGCTACTTGGTGGTCCAGCAGAGGCCTCCCCTGTGCTGCACCCCACCATGGATGACTATCCCATGTAGGGGATGGTGGCTCTGTCTGTTTTTTTGGGGCCACTGTTCCATTTCTTTTTCGCTCTCGGCTTCGGGGGATGGTGTTCTTCCCACATGATGATGAGATCCGGTACAGCAAAGCTCGGACTCTCAGCGGCAGAGCAGGCAGAAGTAGACGACCGCCTAACCGAGAAAAGGAAAGACAAGGAGCAGAAAAAGAAACAGAAAGAAGAAGAGTTGAGGAAGAAAACTCAAATAGAAGAAGAAAGAATTAAAAAAGAGTTGAAAGAAAAGTTAGAAAAAGGATTGTAGGAAAAACTGGAGACTATAGAAGAAGAAGATGACCCTGCTGATGACAGACTCATCAGACATCGAACTGAAAGGGGCGAAAGCAGTCATACAGGTGGTTGAGTATACAGGTCAGTCCCTTAAGCTGGTATGACCAGTATAGCTATTCCAGTGAACGGATTGAAGAGACAGAGGAAGAACGGGACACGTTCATCGCAAAATTGGCATCCATTAAAGATAAAAGGGAAAAGGAGTTCTTGTTGGAGGAAAAACGAACTGAACTGCACAACAAAATGTTAGTTGCAAAGCGACAAGAGCTGGAAGAGAGAAAAAGACTGCAGGTAGAGGGTGAAAGGTTGCAAAGAGAATTGAAGCTGATCAGTATGAATTTGAAGGAGTCTGGAATACCTTCCTGCTGAGATCTGCAGCAGAAGTTGACCAACATGTACAAGCATACATTGTAAAATTAGATGAGCAGATCAATAAACTTTAACACCCGCCATGATTGAGAAATTGGTAAGTAGTGGCGGAGGAGATGGAGGAGATGGAAAAGGTGATCGAGACGGAGATAGGAAGAAGAAGGGCGTGCTACAAGAAGATGCAGGGGAAGTCGGAAAGATAAAAGTAAAAGTGTCGTTGACATACACCGACAAAAAGAAAGAAAGTGTTTTACGTTGGATTGTTGTGGTTGAGTCCTACGTGTATGGGCAGCGTATACCATATTGGGACAGAGTTCTCATGGCCAGTTCGTATATGGCCAGAGATGCAATGAGTTTTGCAATCTCCCTGCAAAAAGAAGTTAATTCTCAGTCTATGGTAGAGTATTCCCAACAAACCCGTACTGAAGTTTTTTTTAAAGCGGTCTGGGAACGATTTAAAGAAACTTAGCCCGAAGAACTGAAATGCTAATCCCGAATATTGCGGATAGGAAGTGGAAAAGTGTATCCGCACTTAAATCTACCATGGATGAACTTTTGCAATGCGCTAAACATGGACTCATCCCGACGCAGATTCTTAACAACATTGCTAGAGCACTACCCGATCCTCTCCGCACTCAACTATATCCCCGTACCAAGGAAGAGAGAAGGACTTATGAGAAGTTTAGCAAAATCACATTAGATCATGCCGGTTTCTTGGCGGAGGCAAACTACTGCCATTATTGGAAACATTTGCAAGCCGGCAAGAAATCGCAAAACCGTACCATCTTAGGAAGTATTCCTGGGAAAGACAACCTTCTTCTGACCTTTGAAGAAGGAGGTGTCGAAACTCTCTCCTATGATCAAATAGACTATGGTCTGGAGGGAGATGCACACAACGGATCTGTAGTTCAGGAGGGGGACTACGTGGCCGTTGCAGCCCGCGGGGAAGGGCGACAAGGAAGAGGCCGTGGCAGAGGAAAAGGAGGCCGCGGTCGTGGAGGAAGAGGACCCGACACCCAGAGGGGTG